CGTCGGCGAAGCGAGCGAGCGGCGCATCTACTCGCGTGCGAAACAAAGCTGTGCTGCAATCACACAGCGCGCGGCGAGCGCGGGCGAGGAGGAATTCAATGCCGACAATGTCGGGAGACGTGCTGCAGCCGACCGCCTTGTACCTCAGCAGACGACTCACGCGTTGCTTCTCGCGCACCTGTGCGTGGCCGCGGGGCTGCTTTGGTCGTAAAATACCGTCGCGATTTCCCATTTGGTCCGAAAAATGATGAGGCCACCGCTTTGGTGGCTCGACAGGGGAATCAATCTTCGCTGGGCGCGTCGCCGGCGGGCAGCCGGTCTTCACGCCGACCACCGCACAGTTCCCAGCATTGCCGCGCGGTCGCCGGGAGACGCGCATTCCTCGGGTGTAATGAACAGTGTAGGCTTTCCTGGCTCCGCGCTGTCTAGCGATATCACTAGACTTCTTGACGCCGCGTTGGTTCTATTTAGCAAAACCACCTGCCGCAAGTTTGGGCCGAGGAGAGGGGGGCCTCGCATACGGGTCTTTGTTTTTGCACCCGCGCCTCAGTCAGGCAGTCCCCGGCTCCACGATGTCTGTCGTTTTCGCAGACATGCTGTCGCCAGCGTGGCTGTCACCCCTGCCACAGCTCGTAATGACATGTACAGGCCTGACACACTGCAAGCTCGGCGGCTCTATCCAGTTTTACCCATGACAGTGTATTGTCCGATGCGGGACGGTAAACCGCTCGTGTTTTTGTAGTATTTTCGGCACATCGTCGGTTATGCTTTGATTCGATGTGATAGTTTAATTTGAGCGGGAGCGACATAAGCGAGGATAAGAGGCGGTATACGCACACGCATCATTTTACTGGAAGCGCGGATTTCCGCAGACGTTCTCTATCAATATACGTTCGGCACTCCTCCCACCACACACGCACACATACACACACAACACGATTTCTAAAGGCCCCGCCATCAAATAATCGCTAGAGAAAGTAAAATGAACTTCGAAGATATATTTTCAACGAATGTGTTAATCATCCTGAATCCAACCATTCAGTGTATATGTATTACTTATAGCGTTGGCGGCATGTACATTGCGCAAGAAAGAACTCCGAAGGTATATTTTTTAACGAATATGTAATACTTCATCCTGAATCCGACCAGTGTATGTATTACCTTTAGCGTTTGGCGGCATGCGCATCGCGCAAGAAAGAACTCCGAAGGTATATTTTTTAACGAATGTGTAATAATTCTTCCTGAATCCGACCAGGGTATGTATTAGCGTTGGCGACATGCGACACAAAATGGCCGGCAGCCGTTGGCCGTATAGTGTAGCACAGCGCATCTGGTTCGGCAACATAATCATACACAGGGAGATGTAACCCCTACTTACACAAAGCGTGCTGCGAGTAATGTGTGCAAAAAAGCCTCAATGGCCGCGTATCGAGTGACCCGAAATTAAGCACAACTTTTAGCCTTTTTGACAGTTGTAACACGCTTAGGGCTCCCGGCCGGACGGCAACCACAAAGCCCCTATCAACACACGGCGGAGCAACCCTTTCTGTCTAACCCTTTACTCACGCGTAACACTATACGTGGCGAGCATTTCACCGCTAGGGCAGGTGGCTGGCTGCGACTGACAGGACGCTAAGGTGAACGCCGAATTACTGTCGAAAGTTCGTGAGTAAAGACGCGATAACATTATGATCATTTGCACTTAACAGATTAGCGCGGGTTTTCCCGAGAAAAATTTTTCAGGGCAAGCGTACAATTTAGCAATGCAATTTTAATGCGTGGTATTATATTACACCGTTCAATTAACGTCGACTCTAAAAGTCTCCTATTTAGATTTAATGCGTTTAACTCAAGTTAAAGTTTGTAAGGTACTGTGCAGAAGCCCGAAGGAATAAGCCCTATTTTTTGTGAAATAATAAACGTTGTTATTTTGTATTATAATGTTTCTTTTCCCCCAAATGTGTCGAAACAGCATCACTTAGATTGACCACCAAATTTATGTTTCGTGCGCGTTAGAGCAGTAAATAATAATAAAATATCCAATATAACGAGAGTTAACGTACAATAGAGTTATAAGGCAATAACGTTAGACTTAATGTGTAATAGCGTTATAAGGTAACAGCGGGACAAAAGGTTATAGGGCAATAACGTCATAATGTTATAAGGCAATAACGTCATAATGTTATAAGGCAATAACGTCATAATGTTATAAGGCAATAGTGTTATAAGATAATAACATTAGACTTAAAGTGTAACAGAGTTATAAGTTAAATAGGTAATAACGTTATAATATTTTAAACACGACTTAGATATGCGGCTATCGAATGTCTACAGAACTTGTGCATAGACTGGTAATAACGTAACGTAACCGTTATAACGCATAAAGTACGTTAAAGTGTAACAGAGTTATAAGTTAAATAGGTAATAAAGTTATAATATTAATGTTTATAGACGACATAGATGTACGGTTATCGAATGTCTATAGTACGTGTGTATCGACTGTTTGTTATATTCTCGTATAGTTAGCATTTTATCGCGTCAACATGAATATTGTGTCTAGACAAATAATACTTAAATGAAGTTTCACACATGCAGTAGTCGGAGTATTATGATATTATGCTTGTATATATATTGTGATCATACAGACAAACACGCACACGCACGCTCACGCATAAGGCACACGCACCCACGTGCACATGCACTCACACGCGCATATACATATATACATACGCACATGCACACGGGCACATACGCACGCACGCACGCACGGGCACGCGCACATGCACACGGGCACGCACACACGCGCACACAGCCACGCAGTGCTTAAGAATGATTGACGATAATTCCTTATAAAATTATGTACGTTACTCAACTGTTATTAACCGTAAACTATCGCAATATTATACACAGTTATGTCTATTTTTCTGAATTCAGAGCCAAGCACGCGTGCTTTCATTAGTGTGCACAACACCCGGAATATAGTTTCTGTAAGTATTTATTATGCGCTTTGCGTTACTTTAAAATATAAATAAATAAATGAATAATTTGGTCATCACTATAAATAACTAAACTACAAACTAAATAAATGTTAAGCTGACGTTGCTTTACTATATTCTAAAATATTTTACAATTTTTTAACGGCTTCGTCGACTGATTTGTTCAAACTATATATCTAATATGTTGCTGTTATAATATTCTAAGTAATTATTAGAGATATTTGCAAGAATAGATATAATTCGAAAAAATATTAAAAAGTACTTAACTAATAGTTCTACCCGAGCCTTTGTAGCAATATATATCATATATACTACTTATATATAATAGATATATATATACGATGTGTGTGTAGTGTGTGTGTGTGTGGTGATTGTGTGTGGTTGTGTGTTGGTGTAGCTGTTTGTCGTGTGTGTGTGTCGTGTGTGTGTGTGCTGTGTGGTGTGTGTGTGTGTGTTCGTGTGTGGTGTGTGTGGTTGTAGATATTATAATATATATATATATCCTTATATATCTTTCGTGTGTGTTATACCACACATGGTATATAGATTACCATGCATATATGATAACGTATGCCAAATACTATGGCATTCACAAACCTGCACTTAATCTCATCCTCAATAATATTCATCTATCTTACGACATAAATATAAATTTTACGGCCGCTGAAACGTCAGTATAATTAGTACATAACTATCGTCATGAAACACACATCGACAGCCGCCCTGCATCAACATACTTGGCTTCATATTCATGCTGTATCTCACAAAAATATGATAAATCACTACAAAAACTCTCTCTCTCTCTCTCCTCCTCCATCTCTCTCTTCGTCTCTCGCCTCCTCTCCTCTCTCCCGCTTGACCTCTCTTTCTCCCCCCATCTCTCTCCTCCCTCGCTTGTTCTTCGTCTCTCTCTCGCTTCCTGGTCTTTCTCTTCCTTGCATTCTCTCCTCATCCCTCCTCTCGTCCTCTCTCTCTCTCTCTCTCTCTCTCTCCCCCCTCTCTCCTCCTCGTCTCTCACTCCCCCTCTCCTCTCTCCCCACTCGCCTCTTTCTCTCTCGTCTCTCCAGGATCTCTCTCTCGCTCACACCTCTCGCTCTCCCCCTCTTCTCTCTCCGTCTTTCTTTCTTCCCATGTCTCTCTCGCTCTCTCTCTCCAGTTCTTCATCTTTCGCGGGTCTCTCTTTCTCTAC